ACACACACACACACATATATATATGTAGCTATAGAACAGCCATTAATATGATTCTTCAGTTTTTCTCAAAATATCTGAATAATTTACTCAGTTATATTTTTTATATTTTCTGTAAAATCTGGAATGACTCATAAATTAGATTTTCAGAGGTTAATGAAGGTTCTAAATAATGAATTGGAAACTGTTAAGAGAGAGATATAACATTTCTCTTTGAGTACACTCAACAAATAGTCATTTGCAAACTAAGGGCCCAAGAAAATTCTATTAGAAGTCTCTTCAGATCATGACCATAATAGGGACTTGGGGAGGCTTTCCAAATTCTAGAAAACTAACTGAATGTAGTGAGGTCTAGAGTGGAAGTACCATGGTGATGGGATGGTATCTCCTTTGGGCAAATAAACATTTATCTGAGTTTTCCCAGTGAAGTGAAGTAGACCCTTATCCTCCATAGCACACCTTATATTGACTCGTTTTAAAGTGCCACTAGACCTGAATAGTTTAATTAGTTAGCTGATGTTGAGTACAGGAGTACTATGGAATTACTAAATGATGGAGTCTTTTATTCTCTGTGGCTTAATGATGTAGATCTGACTTTAACATACAGAATATTTCATAAGTTTTGGATAACAAGTGTTTTGTAATTTGATCATCAATAAGAGACCGTAACAAATTTGGACTCTTCACTAAGACATATTGCCCACCTTTTATTGAACAGTCATAGTGAGCAGAGAACTCAAAATGTGCCTTAACACTCATGACAAATAAGCAGACCTTTTTCTCTTCTGTGGGGTTCAACAAAAAGTACTCGATGCGTTATAAAGCCAAGAACACTTGTCTCTCAGACATTAAAGACAAAACAAATCAAAGCACAAAACACTATGCTGTTCGTCTTTCAACATAGTTCCAAAATATCCCTTAAAGTTACTTGTATTGCTTTTTTCAGTGAAAGAAAAGGAAGATTTGCATCCAGATCCAGAAGTCCAGTCAGTAAAAGATGAAACATTTGGTGAATACAGGTAAGCAGGATGTGCCATTTAAAAACATACAAAACACATATTCTTCATGTGGCAGAATCTACTAGACAAGAGAGTGTTTAATTTTAAAATAAATATAACTATATTTTAATGCAACTACAAAGAATACCTTCAAATATGGGGCCTACTTGAAGTGATAATGACATTTCTGTCTGTCGTGTGGAGTGGAATTCTTGAGAACTGCCATCCAGATTGGCATGTATCTGGGAGACTTTCGGTTATGTTGTGCATAATGCTATCAAGTTTACCTAAATTAAATGTCTATTTTGGAAGATTAACTCATATTCCACATGGGCATTGTGAACTCAAGCTATATCCAATTTATATACACAGACTAGTACTATTTGCAATGAACATGTGCTTCTGAAAATATAAATAAGTTAGAGACCCTATCCTCAAGGTGTACAGAGAGAAAAAAAACAAACCAAACCAAAATCCATCGCCGTCAAATTGATTCATGATGAGCCCGTAAGTTTCTGAGCAGAACTACTCTCTAGAGGCATTTTAGAGATTAATTATTTTGAAAATAGAGGCTCGGGACATTTCTTCTGTGGTCCTGATGGGTTGATTCAGTGCACCAACTTTTCAGTTAAAATCTGGGCACAACTTTTCCCTCCAGCTAGGCACTTCTATACTGGAATGTTGTTGTAGTTAGGTGGAAGAAACAATAGAAAACAAAGAAATGTAACCATGTGTACCGAGGAGATATTCTGGGAAGAGACTACTCCACAAATGATAAACTAAAACTTAAAAGAAGAGACCTATTTTCAAGTGCAAAACAAAGCTTAAACAATAAAAAAACACGTTACTCTTAACCAGTGGGCAGAGTATGACGAAATAGATGAAAGCATGAAGGTGACCATGCATGTGAGGAATATGCAGGACGTCTAGCATGAGCTAAATGGCTCTTGAGGATAAAAACTGCTCACTTTCCATTTACCCTTCTTCACCTTCCCCTTCCCACTACTGTCTCCATTTCTTACCTCCCTTTGCTGGTGATGCCATACTTATCTTTCTTTTACTCAATCAAGGATCTTTTTTATGTTTTATATGTCTTGATGTGTCTCATTAATTCCAATTCAGTGAGATCATTAAAAAGGAGCAAAAAAGAAAGAATATTTAAACTCATTGCTCTTTTATTGGTTATCAATTTTTAGTAAAAGAAAACAATTATTGTTAGGTGTTCTCACGGCTCAAATCAGTTCTGACTTTAAGCAGCCTTAGATATAACAGTGGCTTAGCCCTGCACTGTTCTTAAAATAATTGGATAACAATTATTCAAACAGGCACCGGCTTAAAACAAGCATATAATATCTCACAGCCTTTGTGGGTTATGTACTAGAGCATTACTTAGCTTTATGCTTCTGAATCAAGCTCTCTCATGCGGTTTCAGCAAGATATTGGCCAGGGCTGTGGTATGGAGCATGTGCCCCCATCTCACTGAATCATGTGGTTGTGATGAGGGTTCAATTTCATACACATTATAGAAAGCACCATAATTCCTCACATGCTGTTGACCAGGGAACCACACTGACCCATAGAGCAGCTATCAACATGGCAACTGACTTCCTTCTGCATGATCGAACATAAGTGAACATTAAATTTGAAACCCTTAGTACTTTAGCCTTAGTGCTGCTTAAAGGCAAGGGTGATGACACTTCATCTTACAGATATTGGTCACAGTGCCAGGAGAGACCAGTCCCTGGAGAAAACATCATGTTTGGTAAAGCAGATGGGGAGTAAAAAGGAGAAGGCCTGCTTTTTTGATAGACTGACACAGTGGCTGCAACATGGGCTCAGGCACAGGAGCAATGGTGAGGATGTGCTGGGCCCGGCAGTGTTCATTCTACTGTGCATCAGGTAGTTATGGGTCAGAAGCAATTCAATGAGACCTAACAACTACAGCAGCCCTTGTAAACATTATCTTGTAAATGATATCCCATCACTTTTGTCATGTTCCATAGATTTGAGTCAGTAGCTTCAATCCATGCGCAACAGGAGGGGGATATTAAGGAATTCACATTCCCTTTATGTGGGGCATCTGATAATTGTTCAGAAGACTTTTAGAAGGTGGATTTTGTTAAGTTGATTTTATAGATGAGAAAACTAGTAAAATACCTTGTTCAAAAGCTCATACAGGGCAAGGGTATAGAGTTGGACTAGAAGCCAAGACTCCCATTGTTGCACTATATTGATGCTTTAAAAGTATGGATAAAACAATCCCCTCCCCTCCTCATACCTTTAGTGGCTTATGTATTTTTCAACCTCTGTTCCCAAGCAATATGTTCACAAGATGATTATCTGTGTTTGCTCCTATAAGAGAATGTTTTATTAAATGTTATATCCTTGTATAACATGAATTTCCATCCATGCAGCTTTTTTATAATTCCCTCACCAGTTGTTGCATGGTCCCTATGTCAATACTACATCCTTTTTCGATGCTGTTTCTTCAGCATCCAATTCTGGAGCCAATTACAGTATCAGAATGCGACCCCCAAATAGTTTATCCTCAGGCTATGTATCCAAAACACATTACTTGAGGTACTCAGGTCACCAGAAGCACATAGGAAACTGGTAGTTGATTCTCTGGATTCACAACAACAGAACTGCAATCTGGAAAATTGCACACTGGCCCTGAGCTTTCCATTTGGAAGTCACATGTGTTGCTTTTTTTTAATAATCATTTTATT